CGAAACGCCAAACCTCAACACCGTTTGTTGTTTAGGGCTTTAGGGTTCAGAGTTCAATCAAGTTTTTAACCCTAATCCCTAAACCCTAAACCCTAAACCCTAAACCCTATTAGTTGTTTTGATTGAACGCTGCTCCTTTCTAGTCACAGGGCTGTAGTGAAAACGGCCGAGGGCGGAGATGAGCAACGTCTTCGAGAACGCCATCGTCTCGGCCCACGAGTTCACGTCAGAAGGCAGGGACCCTAAATGAAGGTTTGGGTTGTTTAGGGTTTCGGGTTTAGGGTTTGGGGTTTAGGGTTTAGGGTTTAGGGCATATATCATCGCTCCACAAACGGTTTTTATGCAGGGCCTGAACAGGGCCTGAACCAGTTCGGAGTTTTTCAGACGAGGCATTCTGGCACTTTGGGGGTTGCACATTACTACCCTTTTCATAACATGGGGTTTAGCGTAGATTTTTTGTCGGATTTGCGGTAGGTACCGTTGCGTAGGCTTGCTTTGTGGCTCTGCATTCTTTCAGAACCCCTGCCCCTCCAGAAAAAGCAACTTCAGATGTTTTCCCAACTGCTCGAATTGGCGGTTGCTTGGTGCGTGGCGCCGGGAAAGCCCCTATTCGCCCTGAGCACCGACCCAGAGCCCCTAAAACCCCATCTTAAGCTCGCAACCTGAGCCTGATGTTGGTCATGAAGCCCTGAACCCTTAAGACCCAAACCCCAAACCCCCAACCATACACCCTACACCCCAAAACCCTAGAACCCCCCTATAACTGTGGTGGTTTCTTTTTCTCTGCCCTGGGCAGTGGTCCAGGTGACTTCAGCATTGAAGATCCGGACCAGAAGCCGCTAAATGCTCCTGCAGCTGGTTTAGGGGCTATCGGGACTATAGAAGGTGTCTATAAGGGGGTGATATAGGGGCTTGAGGGTTTTAGGAGATTTTGGGCTTAAGGAGTTTTCGGGTTTGGCTTAGGGTTTTAGGCTAGGGCTTTAGGAGTTTCAGGGTTTGGAACTTTATCGGTTGCAGCTTTGAGAGTTTAAGCAGGAATTTCAGACTTTTTTTTCGGGGGTGGGGCGGGTGGCAAGCTTGCGGGTTTCGGACTTAAAGTTTAGATGTGTTTGTGCGTGTGGGTGTGTCTTTGGGGGATTAGGGTAGGGTTGAAGCCCTGAACTCTAAACTCTACGCCCTAAAGACTACTCCGTTTAACCCACCAGACGCCTTTCTCAACTCCGAAGAAACAGCAGCCGAATCGACTGAGGATCCGATCACCTGGGTCGCCCCCACACTCGTCTTCTGCTGCCGCCTGGCGTGTGGTGAGCTTCAGGGCCATTAGGCCTCAGGCTGATTATGAGGGCTGCTAACCCTAAACTCTAGGCCCTATAGACCAAAAACCCTAAATAGATCCTAAACCCTGGGCCCTTTCAGTGTGTTGAGGGTCATGTTTGGGATTGCTTAGGATTGGCGGATGTTTGGGGCTTAGGGGCGCAGAGCTTCAGGGTTTAGGGCTTGCTTGGGATGGAGAACTGGGGTTGGTGGGGTATCTGTAGGTAGTTCAGGGAACTTGTGACCGTGTTGGGCCCTGGCTTCTCCAGGTTTTCCCCAGGACCCACAGACATCCCAGCATGTAGGCTTGCGCAGTACTTGCGGTGATGGTGTGTGGGCGGCTGCTTTCCGGTCCGGCCTGCTATGCCCCACCCTTTCCCAGGGGTTTGTTTACAAAGCCTCTACAATCTGAACAGTTCCTGCCAGATCAGCGTTCATCCGAATCATGAACATTTAACCTTGGAGCCAGGTGAACTGTCCAGAACCGGACGATCTAGAACCAGAACCCGGAGTAGCCGACTAGCCCCTCATTTCCTTTTTTTTAGCGGGGGGGGGGGGGGGGGTTCCCTTATCATCCCGAAAAACCAGAAAGGGCACCCTTTTTATTCCTAGGTTCCTCCTGGATCTAGAGAATGTGTTGTTCACCCCCCGCAAGCGTTCCTGATTATTCCTTGGTCATAGTCGGGTATCATTTTACATTTTTAAGGGTACTTAAACCCTCCAAGGAAGAACCAATTAAATTCTTAATATTATCCCAACCATGAACTAGATTCGCCAAAGCTGGGGTCGATCTCCAGAACTCGAGGCGTTCTTCTGGAGCCGTCCTCAGCAACCTGTGTTCTCGTGGCAGCCGTACCACCCTGCAACCCCTAAACTCCCCAAACCCTTGACCCTAGGCCCTAAACTCTAAAACCCTAAATCCTCAACCCTAATTAAACTCCGTACATGCCAAAAGGTTCAGTAGAGGTTTCACCGTAGCAGTTGGGCCATGGTCGGGTCATGGCCTTTTTTTGTGTTTTTGTTGGAGGGGCGTTAGGCAGGCCTTCCGGGGCTTACTTGAAGAATCTTGGGCACTTTGAAACCCTAAACCCTAAACCCTAAACCCTAAACCCTAAACCCTAAACCCTAAACCCTAAACCCTAAACCCTAAACCCTAAACCCCGGATCATAAGGACTTCAAGCATGGCTACCTTGCTTAGAGCCCAACTACTAAGTCCCCTGATCCTGTCAGTGAGCCAATCTAGCCGCAGTAGCTGTGCTCAACACAAATACCCTTTTTCGATGACTTGAATGTTCATGCTAGCTGGTTCGATTTGGGTTTGTTTAGGGGGTTTAGGGTTTAGGTGTGAGGTGTAATTCTACGTACTCAGAATACCCTTAACTGACACGTATGAGCTGGCTTTCGAAAGCAGCATCAAAGGCCTTTTGGGTGGATTCAACCGAGAACAAATCACTCACGCTATCGTCAGCAGAAACTTGAATGTGAGACGATAACAAGGCAGTTACCTGCTGAAGCATATCCGCAATTGCAATGTGTGGTCATTCTAGAAAGGGAGCCACCGAGCATGGGTTACGCACATATACACCTTCTTCTTTGTGCGGTTTAGGGTTTAGGGTTTAGGGTTTAGGGTTTAGGGTTTAGGGTTTAGGGTTTAGGGTTTAGGGTTTAGGGTTTAGGGTTTAGGGTTTAGGGCTTAGCTTAGGGCTTAGGGTTTAGAGTCGCCGTGGAACGAAGGGGATGTCCTTGCTGGTTAGGGCAGTCTCTTAACCCCCTCCCCACCATAACTGTGCCGTGACGCTGGTATGGGGTACCATTCAGTGCCGGATTAGAACCCAGGCTCCCACGCAAAAGCATCCACCAGCCGAAGCCCTCAGACCTCAGAAAACCCCACACCCCGCGGTCTTTTGAGCCCTCTACCCTTAAATCTGAAGCAAAACCACCCAAAAACAAGCAATTCCCAAAGACTAGGACCCAGAGTAGGCTTTTATTCCGTGTTTTAAGAGGTTCCCTGGCAAGCCCCTTTAAACCAAAAAGGGCACCCCTTTTTGTTCCTAGGCTACTCTTGGGTCTAGCCCTAAACCCGAAACTCTAAACCCTAAACCCTAAACCCTAAACCCTAAACCCTAAACCCTCGGCAAACCAACCGGACAGTTGATCTACAGCCTGCTCCTGGTCTTCATCCCGCCCCTCCGGAAGGCTCTTCCTGCAGGGTCATGCAAGAGCCCTTGATTTATGTATTGGGTTCAGGGTTTAGGGTTTAGGGTTTAGGGTTTAGGGTTTAGGGTTTAGGGTTTAGGGTTTAGGGTTTAGGGTTTAGGGTTTAGGGTTTAGGGTTTAGGGTTTAGGGTTTGGGGTTTAGGGTATTGAGCTCTTCTTGGCTTGGGTGTGTGTACGCTTGAACTATGGTAGCAAACCGGGGCTTAAGATTAATTCAGGGGTTTGAAGTGATCATAGGTACTGCAAACTCCCATGAGTTGGAACATCCTTATCCCCATGCCGCAAAAGGTATACTGAAGGGAATCCCAGCACTCAAAACAACCTTCAACCAATTCCAACTTTCTTGGCGTTTACCATAGTAGAATGGGGGGGGTGACAAGTAGAGTACGTAACTCGAGCTCTAAGTTAGTTCTTCAAACCCCTACTTACAACCCCCCAAGAACCTCCAAGCAAACCCTGTAGGTTAGGGTTGAGGGTTTAGTGTTGAGAGTTTAGTTCTTGCTCTTAGATGTCAGAGTTTAGTTTAGGGTTCAGGGTTTAGGGAGGTCTTGAAGCCCCTCTACTAAGATGCCAGGTACCCCTGAGACTCCAAAACCCCGCAAGTACCGTGAATTTGGATCCCTAAACCCTAAACCCTAAAACCTAAACCCTAAGCCCTAAACCCTAAACCCTGAGACGTTACCCTGCGCGCACCTCCGCGCATTGCAGGCGATGTTGGGATTCTGAGCAGCCCGGGGGCTACGCGCCATGGGGGTCCGACAGAAAACAAGACTCTGCGCTTAGGGTTTGGGGTTTAGGGTTTAGGGTTTAGGGTTTAGGGTTTAGGTCTTAGGGTTTAGGTCTTAGGGTCTAGGGATGCTTTCATGGTTTTGTCACCCTCTAGTACCCTGACGGTAACCCTTTCTAGCTGGGTGATCCTCCCAAAGGGATAAGGGAATCTTCCTCAGCAGATACTTGAAATCCTCCACACCGAGTCCTGTCAACCATTTTGCCTGATTTGGTGGGAACCCTAAACCCTCAAACCTCAACCGTAAACCCTAAACCCTAAACCCGAAATAAACCCCAAACCCTACGGTAACCTTCCTATTCCCTGGTTCTTGGAGACACAAGTAGTCTTGAGTCCGTGGGTTCTTCGGGTTTAGGGTATAGGGTCTCGGGTTTAGGGTTTAGGGTTAACCCCTGAACCTGTGACAAGGAATTAGGTACCCCATAAAGCCCTTTAAAGGGTTTCTATAGGTATAAGGTAATTCCCTCATCCCGTACGCAAAAGCAGTAGGTACTTACTTGGAGGTACATGGTACTTGGTAACCCAAACATACCTGCACTTATAACCAACATATAACCAGATGGGCTTATAAGCCCCCTAAACCCGAAACCCTAAACCCCAAACCCTAAACCGGAAACCCTAAACCCTAAACCCTGAACCTCCAAGTGCAGCCTCCCAGAGGGTCTGGGAGCTCCTTGCCAGGTGCTTCTGGCGGCCCTGCTCCTCGGTGCTTGGGCCCCCAAACTTTCCAGCGAAGCATTCCTGCAAGACCGTTCGGTTTGGGAGTTTAGGGTTTACAGTTTAGGGTTTAGGGTTGAAAAAATAGGGTTTAGGTTTAGGATTTAGGCTTCAGGGTCTAGGTGTTTTTTGGTGCCGGGTTTATGTAGACCCAGGACGCTCAGGCTCATCCGCATGTGTGAGACTATTTTCTACGAAGCACCACAACTCTGGAGCAATCTGATTCGTTTCCTTTCTTTGTTGGGATCCCCTATGGCCCTCACCTTATTCCTTGTGTAGGGTTCAGCGGGGTCAAACAACTACTGCTACCCTCCCCAAACCCTAAACCCTAAATCCTAAACCCTAAACCCTAAACCCGCAACTTTGGTGGGAAAATGCAGGAAACCCTAAACCCTAAAATCTGGCATGGGGCACGCCAAAAAAGATATTTCGGGGATATTCCCTTGAACGCGTGATACTGCAAAACCCAATTATCATTGTACTCGCAAGCCAACTATGTCCACATTAGGGCACTTATGTGCAGTCATAGTTAAGTACCATGAACCTCTGAGTAAGGATTGTTTAGTCACAGGGCCCCCTGAAAACTCCCAAAGGAACAACTCCAAGAGTCGAAGACCCGATGCAAGAGGGTGTAAAATTCGGGGGTATAGGGTTGCCAGAAACCCCAAACCCCAAACCCCAAACCCCAAACCCTAAACCCCAAACCCCAAACCCCAAACCCCAAACCCCAAACCCCAAACCCCAAACCCCAAACCCCAAACCCCAAACCCTAAACCCTAAACCCTAAACCCTAAACCCTAAACCTTTCCGGTGGGATGGCCCAGGCCGCCACGCACCAATCCCTGGCAGTTCTTGCCGCCAATGAGGAGGATCGGTTCGGGTTTAGGGTTTAGGGTTTAGGGTTTAGGGTTTAGGGTTTGGAGTTTAGGGGTTTAGGGGTTTAGGGGTTTAGGGGTTTAGGGGTTTAGGGGTTTAGGGGTTTAGGGGTTTAGGGGTTTAGGGGTTTAGGGGTTAGGGGTTTAGGGGTTTAGGGGTTTAGGGGTTTAGGGGTTTAGGGTTTAAGGCACACTAGCGCTCCTGAAAGCGCCTGATAAAATGAGTAGTTGCGGGTTTAGGGCACAAGGGTGTCGGGATTTGCGTTTTCGGTCTTGGGGTTTGAGTTTTTGTGGCTCGTGATCTTCTGCCAGTGCGGGGTTATTGCTGAGTTAACCCTAAACCCTAAACCCTAAACCCTAAACCCTAAACCCTAAACCCTAAACCCTAGAACCCCTCAATGGGCATTCAGAGTTCTCAGAGTTTAGGATGTCGGTTTGACCTGAAGCTTTTTCGGGTTCTAGAGTATAAGGTTATGGATTTTAGAGTGCAGTGTTTAGGGTTTAGGGTTTAGCGTTTAGGGTTTAGGGTTTAGGGTTTGGGGTTTGGGGTTTAGGGTTTAGGGCTTAGGAGGGTGTAAGGTACTAGGGGGGGGGGGGGGGGGCTATCTCTTTTAGGTGGGTACAGCTTGTGAGTAGCACAGAAACACCCTAAACCCTAAACCCTAAACCTTAAACCCTAAACCCTAAACCCTAAACCCTAAACACGTCCCTAAACGCTCTCAAAGGACAGGCACATTCTGCAGCTCCTCGCGCAGAAGTTGGGCTTGTCACCGCCGGAGGTACTGGGCGGCTGGTCTTTCAGCTTGCTTGGCGTTTGGGGTTGAGGGTTGAGGGGTTTAGGGCTGAGGGTTTAGGGTTTAGCTTTTGGGGTTTAGGGTTTGGGGTTTAGGGTTTCGGGTGTTTCATGGGGTTTAGGGTTCAGGACTGGAAGTTTGGGTTTTAGGCTTCAGGGCCGTGCGGGGGGTTTAGGGGTTGACCAGTTACCCCCGACCAACTGTGTCAGACTGCCCGGTTTCCCATTCGGTGAGTTCAGGTGGCCTGTGGTGTTTGGGCTCGGGGTCTGCACTTCTCGATGCTGCTTTGGTTTAGAGTTTAGGAGTTAGTGTTTCGGGTTTTTTTTGGCGTCAGAAACAAGCCTGGTGGACATGAGATATGAGGCGTTCGCGATCAAAGACTTATGCCAAAAGCTTACGCGCCTACAGTAAACCCCCGGCCGAAGCCCCTCGCACCATAAACCCCAAACCCTAAGCCCCAGATCCTAAACCCTAAACCCTAAACCCTAAACCCTAAACCCTAAACCCTAAACCCTAAACCCTAAACCCTAAACCCTAAACCCTAAACCCTAAACCCTAAACCCTAAACCCCCAGAGCCACTCCCACACCCTTGCCTGCTTTTGGGCAGGCATCCTTCGACGCATTTCTCTACTTGCAGGCTCCTGTTTCAGGTTCAGGTAGGGTTTAGGGTTTAGGTTTTAGGGTTTAGGGTTTGGGGTTTGGGGTTTAGGGTTTAGGGTGTAGGGTTTAGGGCTTAGGGCTTAGGGCTTAGGGCTTAGGGCTTAGGGCTTAGGGCTTAGGGTTTAGGGTGTGTTGAGCTTTGGGTGTGCGGGCCTTTTGGGGTTGGGTGTAGGATTTGGGTGCGAGCATGGAGAAATGCAATCTTCAGAGTTCCAGTGTGCAATGCTGTTGGTCCTGCACACCTGAAGCCCTAATCCCTACATCCTCAATCCTAAATCCCGGACTCTGAATTGCCAAAACGGTCCTTTAAGGGATGTGGCCATTTGGACAAGGGGTCTTTACAAGAGGTTTGCTAAGGTTTCCCCTAGCCCTAAACCCTAAACCCTAAACCCTAAACCCTAAACCCTAAACCCTAAACCCTAGACCTCTCCCAGCGCTACCGTTAGCTGTCCCATTTTGGGGGTCCTCGGTTCCCTCCAACCCCAGCAGGTTGCTCCAAGGTATAACTGTACCTTACTCCTTAACATCTGTGACGAGTGGTGGTTTGGACATGATGTGGCCGAACAGCTCCGCTGCGCAAACGCTGCGGAGCGGGGTCGCAAGACTCTTTGGGTCTTGGTGGGAGTACAGAAAGCTCCGCCCGCGCTTCCGCCCTGGCAGCGGGGCCGCTCAAGGGCCTCTACCGACGCAGCGCCTGCGCCACTGAACCGCGTGCCGGCCACGCCGCAGCAGTCCAAGGACCTACCTGGTGAACGCAGGTGCCCCAAAGCTTCAGGCCCCCCCAAAGCCGTAAATACCTTAACGCCCTACAAGGACCTTCAGTACCCCAAATACCCACTAGTACCTGTTCACACTACCCTTGTAATGCCCCATATAATCTATAGTAATAATGCCCTATTCTACCCTCCAATACCCTTTGATATCCTACGAAGCCCCTACAGGACCCCCATAATCCCCCCATACTGCCCTCTCCCCCAAAGAAGCGCGCTGGCGCGCGCCAAGGCCCCAGAGTTTCAGTTCCTGACCACGGGCCACGTCATGGAGGCCGTTGACCTTGTGATTTTTTGGGGTCATATCCTGAAATCGGAGGTGGGGGGGTGGGGGACATGTTGGGGGGCGCTCCTTTATACGGCCCCCAAAACGAATAACCCGTATTCTGAACCCGCAAAAAAGGTGCCACAAGTTTCGGAAACACCAACATAGGGCTTTTAGAGGTAACATGGAGCGGGTGGGGCCTGTTTAGGTAAGGGTTGAGGGTTTGAGTTTAGATAACAATACTACAAATGGGCTGAGATGGGTAGTTACTTAAACTCCTCTCTCAGTGGCTTTCGGGGCTTCGGTTTCATTGGTTTTACGGGTTTAGGGCTTTGGGGTTTTTAAGGGCTTTTGGGGCTTACGGGTTTTTGGGGTTTAGGGTTTCTAGGTTTTGCGGTTTTAGGGTTGTGGCGCTTACTTGGAGGTTCATGGTACATAACCAATTATGAGTGCATTTATAACCCAGTACCCCCTTAACTACTCTACTATGGTTAAAAATAGGTTTTTAAGTGCAATTACTATTTGGTTAGGAAATACCATGAACCCCAAGTAGGTCCCCAAATCAAAGTGCTCCCCTTATTGAAACACGGCGTTATCCTTGCTTCAGGGTTTAGGGTTTAGGGTTTAGGGTTTAGGGTTTAGGGTTTAGGGTTTGGGGTTTGGGGTTTGGGGTTTGGGGTTTGGGGTTTGGGGTTTGGGGTTTAGGGCTCTACTGTGGGTTGCGGGGGGTGGGGGTAGGGTGGTGGTGGTGGTGGTGGTAGTCGAGGATGGTTCCTGCGTGATTCCAAAGGCTTAGTTGCACCTCTAGTTTGTCCAGGAAACTGGGCGCCCAAGCCTAAACCCTGATCCCTAAACCCTAAACTCCTAACCCCAACCCTAAACCCTAAACCGTAAACCCCATAAACCCCATAAACCCTATAAACCCAATAAACCCTATAAACCCTATAAACCCTAAAAACTCTCAAAACCCTCAAAACCCTAAAAACCCTAAAAACCCTAAACCCTAAACCCTGTTGCTTCTCAGAGTCGCTGCCGCAGGCTGCAGCCTCTGGTGCGCTTCCGAGCGCGGCAGTGCCGCTCAGCCGATTCCTGGCTTCCACGGACCTTTTGGGGTTTAGGGTTTAGGGTTTAGGGTTTAGGGTTTAGGGTTTAGGGTTTAGGGTTTAGGGTTTAGGGTTTAGGGTTTAGGGTTTAGTGGAGTAGGAAGCTACAACACCAACCCAGTTGGTTTCGTGGTAGTGTGAGGTGGTTGAGCAAGCCCCTTTTAAACCAAACGGGCGCCTTTTTCATTCTTAGGTTACTCTCGGGTCTAGTGCCTCAAGGTGTCTGGCCCAAGGCACCGTGAAAAAATCGCGGTGTTGTGCGCCACATACCCATAAAGAATTGACTTCGACGAAGCAAAGTAGGCATCGCCTCTCCACAAGATATGTCGAAGGCGACTTTCGTCGGCGCGCTTTGTCCTTTCTAGGTAAACTCGACACCATAAACCCTATAAATTCCATACCCGTAACCGACATCCCCCTAAACCCTAAGCCCTAAACCCTAAACCCTAAACCCTAAACCCTAAACCCTAAACCCTAAACCCTCTTCACGAAGGCCTGCACAGCCTGAAGCCCCGCGGAAGCTAGAGGGTTGTACTTGGGGCTTCATGCTACTTAGCAACCCAATAATGAACCATATTGGGGACCTTAGAACTGCGTTATAAGTACAGTTATAATTGGGTTATAAGTACAGTTATAATTGGGTTATAAGTACAGTTATAATTGGGCTATAGGTACAGTTACAATTGGGCTATAAGTACAGTTACAATTGGGTTATAAGTACAGTTCTAATTGGGTCATAAGTACCATGAACCTCCACCCACCCGCTGAACCTGCCTGGAGCCTCTCCGGTGTGGTTTCGGCCAGGCTTTTGAAGCGTAAGAGGCTGAAGGTTCAGGGTTTAGGGTTAAGGTTGAAGGTTCAGGGTTTAGGGCTGAAACCCTGTACACCTTTCAGCCCTCTAAACCCTGTAAGCCTTCACTTCGCAACTCTGAGTCTCTAGGCCCTGAACACTCAACTCAAACCCTACCAGCTGTATAATGTTACTCCCCATGCCCCATAAGCCCTATAAGGGGTTTAGGGTTTAGGGTTTAGGGTTTAGGGTTTAGGGTTTAGGGTTTAGGGCTCCTAAAGCCCTAAAACCCCAAAACCCCGAAGGTCTGCGGTGCTGTTGCTCATTGGAGTGGCTCGACGGGGCCTCGGTCTACCCAGACCCTTGGGGGAGTTTCCCATAATGGGGTTTAGGGTTTAGGGTTTAGGGTTTAGGGTCTAGGGTTCAGGGTTTAGGGTTTAGAGTTTAGGGTATTGGTTATAGTAGGGTTTAGGGTTTGGGGTATAGAAGGGTTTCGGGTTTAGAGTTTAGGGTATAGTAGGGTTTAGGGTTCAGGGTTTAGGGTTTAGAGTTTAGGGCTTAGTAGGGTTTAGGGTTTATAGGGTTTAGAGTTTAGGGTATAGTAGGCTTGGGTTTGGAAAGTCGTAGAGTTTAGGGTTTATGGCGTTGTGGCATTTTGGGGTCTTCGTTGTTTTGGGGTTTTCGGGACCGTCGCAGGGGCCCTGAGTTGGGTTGTGAGGGTACCCTCCCGATTTAGGGTTTAGGGTTTAGGGTTTAGGGTTTAGGGTTTAGGGTTTAGGGTTTAGGGTTTAGGGTTTAGGGTTTAGGGTTTAGGGTTTAGGGTTTAGGGTTCAGGGCTTGTGGGGTTGATAGAGGCTTGTTTTTGTCGTCTTGTTGGTGAAGCGGGGGGAGTGCTCCCTATGTGGTGCTTTGCTGTAACTTTAGATCCTTAGCCTTTTTGGGTTTACTGGGTTTCCTAAGAAGGCAGCTAAAGATTTAGTTTTTAGCGACACCCCTATAAGTGCAGCCAAGCTCAGTGCTGAAAAGGCGAGGGAACCGGAGGTGGGTAGGGGTTGGGGTTTTGCCGGTCGGGTTTTATAGTTGGGAATGAGGGAACGAGGCGCCCTATATACTCCCTTAAGGGGTACTTAGTATATGTAGGCTAAGAAGCAGGGGGGCTTAGAGTTTGGGGTTTAGAGCCACAGCGCCTGTAGCACTGTAGCGGAGTTGCGTTGTGCTGCCGAACACCCGGGGCGCCCGCCCCCCGAAGAATGGAGTTAACTATTTTGCCGGGGGAACCCTCAGCCCTGGCACCAAGACACTTTAAACCCGAAATGGCAAGCAAAGCCCAAAACCGGGACGACCCGAACAACCCTAAACCCTAAACCCTAAACCCTAAACCCTAAACCCTAAACCCTAAACCCTAAACCCTAAACCCTAAACCCTAAACCCTAAACCCTAAACCCTAAACCCTAAATCGAATCAACCAAACCTTGTGGTGGACACATCGCCACGAGGCTCTCGCCTGTGTTCCCGCTCAGAACTGTGCCAGGCCCAGGCATTCAGATACCCCAGTCCTGAACCCTAAGGGTTTACTGGGTGTTATAGGGTTGATAGTGGCTGATATAGGTTTAAAAAGTTTATAGGGTTCGCAGGGCTTATCGGGCGCTATCGGGTTTTTAGGTTTTTTGGGGTTTATGCGGTTTAGGGTCTGGACAAGTTTTTGGATCTTCCCGGGATAGTTGTAAGGGGTGATCACCTTATTGTGGGGGGGCTCTATATCTGCATCATGCTCCCTTTGCTGCGGTACCCGAAGCAGGCTTCGTATTGCGTAGAAGTTAAATTCCTCCAATTCGAAGGTGGCTAACCCTAGCTAACCCTACAAAAATGCACCTTCGAAGTCCCTTGGGCATCCATTTTGAAACCCCAGAAGTCGATACTTCCCTACGAAGAACTAGGAGAAGATGGGATGAGCAATATACCTCTCTACACCCGAAACCCTAAACCAAACCCGAAGAGCAGGTTTCCCGCAAGACCCTGTGACCCATGAGATGGAGCAAGCTGCAGTTTCCACTTAGGTTTTAGGGTTTGGGGTTTGGGGTTTAGGGTTTAGGGTTCAGATTTAGGGTTTGGGGTTTAGGGCTAATTAGCAAGTACCCTGTACATGCTATGTGTGGACAGCACGAGGTGCCGGGAGGAAGCAGCCTTGATCTCGGCATCTCCAGCG